TAGAAATGAAGAGACAGAAACCAGAACTAGTGAGCTAGAAGATAAATCTCTCAACACCACTAATATAGAAGAGCAAACAGAAAAAAAGATAAAAAAAATCTGAAGAAGGCCTAAGATTCATGTTGGACAACAAGAAGAGGAATAACTTTGAAGAAATATCGGCATTCCAGAACAGGAAGAATCACACTAGTCCACAGAGGACATAGTTGAAGAGCTGCTGAAAGAAAACTTTCTTAACATCCTGAAAAGTGAAAAGATAAGCATTCAAGAAGCTCAACGAACCCCAGGAAGGATAAGCCCTAAAAGTAAATCACCAAGACATATAATAATAAACTCTCCAAAATCAAAGACAAGGACAGAATCCTGAAAGCAGCTAGGGAACAGAGAATTTTAACATACAAGGGCAAACAAGTCAGATTAAGCTCAGATCTCTCAACAGAAACCATGCAGGCAAGAAGACAATGGGGAGACATACATAAAATCCTGAAAGAAAAAACTTCTGACCAAGAATCCTCTACTCTGCAAAGCTGTCAATCAAATACAATGGTGTAATCAAAACATTCCAGAATAAACATAAGCTAGGGGATTTTGCCAAAGCCAACCCTGCAATGAAAAACATTCTAAAGGAAGTTGTGTGCAGCTGGTGAGCTTGTACCGCCACCTTTGCAGTTCAAATGCCTTTGCAGTCTTACATATTAACCCACAGCACCACACCAAATAGACTGTCTTAAAAGGAATATAAGGTAACCAGAACAGTGGGGTGGCATGGGAGGTTTAGTTTGGGTGTTGGGGAGGGCAATACAAGAAGGGGGAGGAGGAGGAAGAACAAGATATATAAGGGAACACTGAGACAGTTTTGCATGGCCTAAGTGGGATAGAGGTAAATAATGAAGCATGCTCAACCTTGGAACAACAGGGCTCTGTGAAATAGGGATCCAGGGATAATTTGAAGATGAGATATAATACTAAAATGCTTGACTGTCTTATGAATATTGGTTTCCATTACCTACTATTGTAAAGTAGACACTTGAGTGGTATAGAAAGCAATGTTGGGAAACATGATTAGAGAAAACTTGTAAGCCCGTCTTCA